CAAGTAGGGTGGATGAGCAGGGATAGGAGATCTGCTGGATATCTAAGGGCACTTGCATCTCTTGGAAAGGTTCGCTGTAAAGCATTAGTCCTGGGAACGGAGAGTATGACTTTGTTTCCCAGTAGCCTAAATTGTTCCATTACAGCAAGACTGGAAATAACCTCTTAAAGTGTCTTCGTTTCTGCACATTTTTAAAATCGATCTTCTCAGGGGTGACTGAGTGGGCTGAGGCAAAGGGGGGCATGGTTAGCTGCAGGGCGACAGGATGGAGCAGCTCCCCAGACCTGCAGCTGGGCCGTGGGCTCCTCCCCTCAGGTTTGCCTGCAAACCTGGAGGTTTTGTACAGTTTGTCACGTGTCAGTGCCCTTTGCTACTGTTTCTCTTTGTTTATTAAATGTGTTTGAATAACAGTTGAGATGCTGTGATTAATTTTTTTCAATAAAGATTCTGAAATAGGTTTGAAGTTTGAACTAAGCCTGCAGCCTGCTGCTTTCTTTGCATCCTTTTGCTACCTTACCACACAAATGCTACGTTCTGGAGAAGGAAACTTAGAAGTTATGTGCCTCTTCCTGGTTCCAAGTTGTTCATAACAAAGACTGATTTTCTATCATACAAGAAAAATCTAAACTGCATACATTTTTACCAGTAGCTATTTCTAATGACAACCACAAACAAGCAAAATGTTAAGACAAGCATTAAATGCAAGTAGCTGAGAAAGGAAGAGGATTTTTTAATCAACTTTTAAGTCCCTACTTGACCACAGCCCAGCACACATGGAAGAAAGGAGTTTTGACACTTGTTTCACAGCTCTGCCCCTTCCTCTGTACCAGAAGGAGCCCACACCAAACGTCCACAGCAGCTTGCAAACTGGTCTGGTTTCCCCCACAAGGCCAAAGATAGAATATTCTTGCTATTGCCAAGCTAAAAAGAACAAACATGAAAAATAAATGCAGTGTCTTACATAAAGTCTCCCCTGCATTCTCAGCCTGTGACTGCTGGGAGAAAGATTGCCCTGGGCATATAGAGTTAACTCAGAAACCCTGGAGGGTATTTTAAACATTGCTCTATTACTTCTGCCCAGAAAGCTGCCACCTTCTACCTATGTGTCTTTAAAAGACCGGTGGATTAACAGGGATTTAGTTTCTTTCCTGTTTACAGAGCACCACAACCCAGAAGTGCTTGACACACAGAGGTACCAGCAGATGGACAAGCAGCAGGGAAGAGAGGCAAAACAGATACTCGAGCTTTGGTGACAAGTTGGAGAGCGTTGACAATTCAGGCTCAAAGCAGAGGGAACGAGGAGGAGCAGAGTGATAACAAGTGAAAAAGGGGAAATCCTGAATTAATCTAGTCTTATTTTTGACTACGGGCAGCTGCTGCCCCCTCCGGCAGCCGCACCGATGGCCGTCCAGCAGGCACGCACCCAGCCGGCCGTGCAGGCCGGGAATGGGTCAGCAGGGAATGGGTCAGCATGGCCCTACACCAGGGCTCTGCAGCAGTGGAAAGAGGAGACTCTCTCCCAGCAGGGCCACACGAGGGAAATTTGTGGACACGGGGAAGCAGAAACTATGGCAGATCCAAATCACCACATAGCCCAGGCTGAGTGAAGAGGGCATCTTAAAACCTCATGGACCTCTCTCCTTACAAGACCTGCCTGCAGGTAGCAACTGCCAGTGAACTCACCCCAAAACACGAGCCGGAGCAGAGCCACGCTCACCGAGCCAGAGGCTCTCGGGCAGAGAAGGGCACCCACGTTCACAGGGTAGGGCTCGTCAGCAGCAATCCAAATCACAGCAGGCCTGCAGCCCTAGCCTCCCTGCTCTCCCACTTTCACATTATCCTATCAGAGCAAGCAGGCTGGAAGAGCCCTCGTACCAGACCCGTCGCCAGCTCCAGGCTGCCAGCCAGGCTGTTTCTCACAATACTTAATGCAACGCTACATCACCGTGCAGGAGATGCAATCGTCGCCTGACGGTTTCTGTGGAAACCATGAGCTCTGCAGGGCTCTGCACCATTGCCTGCCTTCCCAAAGCCGGGCAACCCGTTTAGCATCTTGTTTTAAAAAAAAAAATCATTTCTTTATTTCCTGCTGCAGAAGACAAGTGCTATCCTGGCATTACTGAGAGCCAGAGGTTATGCTTGATGAGCAGCAGCACTGCATGTGTTATAGTACTAAAAATAAAAATTAACCCAATATTCCATCTTTTCATAGGTGATCCTGCTGTTTCCAGAGGCCAGACCACACAGCTCCACTCTTGTGCTTCCCAAATTTCAGGCTGGTTTAAGCCTGGGGCAGAAGAAGGGAAAAGGGAGCCAGTTTGCAGCAGAACAGGCCTCAGTAGGCAGCTTTTGGGCAAAGCTCAGGGCTGCAAGGGGTTTGCCAGAGCACCCGGGCTGCGGAGCACAGGGCTGTCTCCCCATGGCCACGGGGCCCTGTGGCATCACAACCAGCGCCGCTGTGATGTCGCCCGCCAGCCCCAGCCACCCGCGTGCAGAACCCAGCTGGGTGTGCTGCCACAAGCCCCGAGAGCCTCCCCCGTACACCCCCAGCAGCGCTCACTGCCATGGGCAGCCCCACAGATCAGGTAGGTGCCCAGGTGACCCACAGGGCCAGGAAGGCATCAGCTCCCAGCCTCTGCTCTGCCAGAAGATCTGCCTGGGACAAACAGCAGCCCTGTTGTCCAACCCCAACACAGGGCAAAAGTCTCTTCAGTGGGGACCATGGACCTGCCCTGTGACCTGTGCTCCTCCCAGCAGGAGAAGTCACCCCGGTCCTGCCTGCAGTGCATGGCACATCTGTGCAGGGACCTCATCCAGCCCCAGCATGCACACACAGCCTTCGGGAACCCCTGGCTGCAGGAGCTCCTCAAAGACTGGGAAGCTGTGCCATGCTCTGAGGACCTCAAGCCACGGGACCTCAAGCCGCAGGGCCGCAACAGCAAGGTGCACGGACACAGGATGTCTAAGCCCAGCACCTGCCTGGAGGAGCGATCCAAGCAGAGGGTGAGCAAGAGCTGGCCTAAACAGGGCTGGGATGCAGCTGGAAGGAAAGGAGACTCCATCAGCAGCTCTGCAGGAGCAGCTCCTTTGCCACACAGCCAATGCTGGGCTATGCCAGTCACCCTGTATGCCCATAACCCCTCCATGGGTCCTGGCAAGCAGTGCCTCAGCACCTTCTCTATGGCTAAACCACAAGATGGGTCTTCTTTTCTAGGCAGAGATCAAGCAAGTACAGGCCAACCTGGAGAACCAGATCTTGATGGTGGCCTCCGACAGTCTCAAGCACAAAGCAAGGGTGCTCCACCTCACAGTAAGGCCCCTGCTTCCCCACTGCAAAGAAATCTGCCCCCATAGAGCCAAACTTGCTCTCAAGGGGCCATTTAAGAGCACTTTTAAAGTAAGCCCTCCTCAGTCACATGAAGAATCTGCTAAGTCAACATGGACTTGGTGCCTTTCCAAAACAGAGCCAATGCTCAGCTAGCAGCTGTGCTGGCTTTGCCATCCTGTTACAGACACTCAAGGCTCCATCCCCTTCTGTGGTTAATAGCAAATCGTTCAGGATTAGCCTGAAGAACCATTCTGGGGAAAAGAGGCTGAGCGAGACCACCACAGTTGGAGGGTTTGGTGCCCACAGCACATGTCTCCTTCCCCCAGAAAGTGGTGGAGCAGGCACGAGAGGAGGTGAACCGGGGCTTCGCCGAGATCCTGCAGGAACTCAGGCAGCTCCATGGAACCTTGCTGGGCTTCCTCGACCATGAGGAGCACACAGCCCTGCTCCAGCTGGGCGACTCCATCCAGGAGAAGCAGGAGAAGCTTGAGCACTTCCGGGAGCAGGATGCCTGGCTGAGGCACCTCCTTGAGGACACCAGCGATGAGCAGCTCTGGCAGGTGAGGGCCTATGTCCCAAGATGGGAGGGGGGTGGCAGCACACATCGGTGTCACATAGCCACCTCCAAACACTTGAAGCCTGCCCATAGTGAGACTGGGTCCCTGCACTTCCAGGTGATAGGAGTTAATAGACCTCCACATGGCTTTGCCAGGTGCCTAGGAGGAAGGCAAGTGAGAGAAGGCATTGCTGAGATTTCCTAATAGCCACAGAGCAAAGTCAGCAAGTAGCACACACACCTGAACCTTGGCAGAAGGATTTTAAAATCCCTTTATCTGCCTTTTTTGCATCGGAAAAGGCAGGAAAGGGGTGCTCCTGCATCACTGCTCCAAAGGAAGGGCTCCTTCTCCTACCAGGACCGAGCCCTGCCTCAGCCACCATGCAGCATCACAGCCAGGGGCTGCAGCTCACCTCACACAGCACCACCACAAAACTCACATTAGTCACCCCAAGCTCAAGCTGGTAGCTCGGCTTTCCCATACAGTGCCAGTTTTGCCTGGAGCACAGCAATTCATTTGTTTTTGACCTGCCTGCTCATGTCTGCAGAGCAAAAAGAAAACTGAATTGCCATGAGATGCAAAATGGTTTTAGCAGAGCCCATAAAACCATCTGAGTCCAATTTCTCAGGCTGAGGCTCTGGCAAAAAGGAGGGGAAGCCACTGCCGGGTCCCTCCTCTCCACACCCATCACAGCAGGTGAAACCTGGCAGCACAGAGGTCCAGGCCCAGCTGTAAATGCATCTTGCATAACATGTACACTCTGCCCCAGGCACTCTGCATAAAGATGAAGGTCAGTTAGTCACCTACCTTCAGTCTGTGGGAAGTCACTAGGCTAGATCTACTTGCAGACAGCCTGTAGATATTTCCAAGTCCGGTTTACTAACTTGTTTGGGAAACAGACCTTAGCTAGGGAGCCATGTCCTTCCACCTAGATCTGGCGGGAGGCAGCTGCTGAATGTTTAACCCAACTTATCTGGACAAGTAATCCACACACACACCCTATCCCTTCCAGGGCTGGAGAAGCACACTGGTTTCTCCAAACCCCAAAGAGTTTGCAATCCTCAAGTGATTGCCATCAGGTTGTGGTGTAGCAGAGGTGAGCAAAGGATCCAACATCTGACCCTACGGCAATGTTTCCTAGCAAAAGCCTCTGTCGCTCCTAGGAACTCCCCAAAGCTAAGGGGATAGGAGTGTGCCGCGAGCCCGTCCTCAGTCCCAAGTGTGAGGGATCCTCGAGTTTCATGGGCCTCAAGCAGACCCTCAGTGAGCTGAGGACTCAGCTGGCAACACTTGGTCTCTGCTTCGTCAAGAAAATCCTTGGGAAAGGTAAGCACCTTCCACCCAGTGATCTAGCTTTAGATTTTGTCATGGCAGCACATCTATGGCAACAGCAGGAAAAACACACTGATGATCTTGATGAACTCAAATGGCAGTCACTAAAAATTAGGAAAGCTAGAACAGTCCCAAAGTCAACCCTATTCCCTAGCTGTCACTTAGTTCCATTAGTTTTCTTGCTCCTTGGGGTTATCTCTTATCTTTCAGTGCTGCCCATGGGCCATCAGGACTCCAGTGTCACCAGCTTCACTATCTCTTGAGCTGCCCTGTGTCCCCCAGTCTTGAGCAGATTAATTGCCTGCAGGTGACACATGCTTGGAGCTGCTCTTCACAAGGCTGCAGAGCCCTGCAGACCTCTGAATCCTGGGGAACCTTGCACAAGTACCTTGGAGATAATGCTGAGACAAATATCTTTGCAATGCTGCAGAAATTTCCCCATCTCCCGATGTCCCACCTTTGTTTTCCTCAGTTTGCTAATTCAAATGCAGAGAAATATGTGAAAAGTAAGGAGAATGGGATTCTTAGATTTGCCAGGCAGAAGAATTTTGCTCATATCAAGGGTTCAATGCCAGATTTTATGCTTGTAAAACAAGGGCTTGGTGGCCCATTTTACTGCTCTCTCTCCCCCCACCCCAGTGGCCCTAAGCCTGCATTGACCTGCATGTCCTAGCAGGATGAACAGCTCTCCTCTTCTTTCCCAGGAATCACAATGCTGAACAACGAAGTTGTCCCTCCGGATGTGGACAGGAAGAGCCTCCTAAAATGTAGGTGTCAGCACTATGTTATCATGTCTTCCCTGTCCTGTTGTGGCTCCTGGGCATTGCCTGCGCCTTCCTTGGTGTAACCATCCTTGGACAAGAGGCCAAGCAGGATCCAGCCAGTGCAGCAGCCAAGCAGCATGGCCAAACCCTCTTCTCTTGGCTAGCTGGAGCCCAGAAATCTGCCAGCTCCCTAAAACCAGGCTCCATGAGTTTTGGCTGCACACCTTCAATACCCCATGAGCCCTTCTCTGCCTGCCCCAAACAGGGTGCTGTGCCTTAACAAGAACTTATCAACAGGAAGAAAGACAAAAAGTAGTTTGCTTTAAAGGTTCAAGTCTCCCTAGCATAAGAGCTACCGCTGGGGAAGGAGCTGCCAATCCCAAGCTGTGTCAAACCAAACA